GCAGAAATCTTAAAGACTTTTTTTTTTCTTACTGTTAAAATAACATTGCTTAGAAGTCAACCTAATGCCTCTCCTCACCTTCCACTGTTTTAGGATAAAGAGAAAAACATGAGGTTTGTGGTATCCACTGTTAAACAGACCGGACAATATGAAAACTATGTTCTCATGTTAGGACACTCTGTCAAATGAGATGTCCAAAGTGTTTCTCCAACTTTTGTGTGACCTGCAGAATTGGAGATGGCTTAGCCTCCCTATAACTTCAAGTTTGCTTTACAAAGCTTTGAAAAGTAAAACAGATAAGTTCATCTTCAGATAGAATAAAAAATTAATTTGAGTAGCAAAATAAGTAACTGCTTTTAAATGTACAGTAGTGTGTCCATTCTAAAAACAAAACCTAAACCTATGTTAGGAAAACTTTTCAAATAATGCTTCTTATTGAATTCTCCAGTAGTAGTTGAAATAAAAATCTACTCTAACTTCTACGAAAAGATCTATTTATACCATTTAATTTTCTCTTCTCTGATTCTACGTTTCACTTTGCAACCTGCAGACCTTCATGGTTTCCCAAATGGGGAACCCAGCCCCCTCATAAATATTTCTGAGAAGTTGCTCAGAGTGGGACACACAAAAAATATGGCTCCTCTGGCAAGTATTGCTGTCACCGTCTGACTATGTTTTAATACTGTTACTCCAATTCGTGTAACCAAATCTTCCATGAGGATGGTAGGATGAACCTGGTTAGCTAGCTTCTGATGAGGACTTCAGGGTGACCAGACCCTGGAATGAAAGGTGATCAACTCTAGGGTAAAAGGGAGGAAAAAATTCCTTCATAGCTACAAATCTTCACAAGCCTTCCAACAGTCATGGGGAAGGAACAATCCGAGGAAGTGAGCGGGGGGCAGGGAAGGTACACAGGAGTACAGCCAAAGGGAATACTACAAAATGCTTCTCCAGCCTTGTTAGAAAAACTTCCTGCCATGCCAGGAACTAGATGCATCTGTGTCTATTTTCTAGGAAAGGGCCCATCTTGGTGCTTTGCTATCCCAAATTTCCTAAGCATGAAGATTAGTTAGTGGGGGAAGCGGGACTATGGTTTCCACAATCTGGTCAGGTTAAGTGGTCCACTGGCCTTCCCAGGGCACTCCCCGCTCTCAATTCACGGAGAAGGCCCCCCCCCCCCCCCCCCCCGCAAGCTCAGAGAATCCATTCTCTTTGCCTGGAATGGTGAGCTGGCAGCTAAGGGGTCCACTTCCTGGCTTTGAAGAGAAAACGCCCAGGAAGCTGCAGATGTTTCTAGGAACCATTCCATTCTAGAGCCCTATTAACCTGTCTCTCCTAAGGAATCTCTGAATCTCCTCTCCTGATTTGGTAAGCACTAAATTATGAAGGTTTTCTCTCATTTCCCCCCTCCTCAGGTCTGTAAACTGACTTTTTATCTATACCCACATCACCTCCTTCACTACTCACTCCAAAACTTTGCTCTTTTGGAGTGACGTGTTCTGTCAAATAGATTAAAATAAAGTACATTATCTGTTTACAGGGAATACAGAGTAGAACCGGGTCAGAGGTACAAAACATGGACACTGACATTGCGGTCATACAAAATATATATAGAAGTACCCAGCATGAACAGTTTTTGCCTTCTTTTTAGCATTTCCCCACATTTTTTCTTCTTCTGTGGATCCTCTGGAGTTAAGATCGAGCTTCCTCTGCAGTGTTTCTGAAATTCATTACATGATTGGAACATACTGACAGAATTCATTTTCTGTCCAAAGCAACGAGTGGTATACATGAAAGTTCGCCTCACGTACAATATTAATAAAGTTTATTAACAGCTAAGCTTTCTGATGCTAAGGGCTGAGATAGGATGGAAGGCTTTGCCATACGTATCGCATTCATGAGGTTCCCTTCTGGAATGAATTCTCTGATGTATGTGAGATGTCAATGGTCACACACGGCAAACACGGCAAACTCTCTGTACAAAGTTAGCACAGTCTCACTTTTATGCCTTGAATAAAATACTAAGTGTCTTAGCCTATCAAGATGCCTCATATTCTGAGATCTATATTCTCAGGCTGTAGCTTTGTCTGCCAGGCTGGAGTAAAAACAAATTCCCCACAATCTGAAGGATTTCACTTCTCTTCCTGGCAGGTTTATTTAATAAGGTATTTTCTTAAAAACCCTTCAAAAACTTCCATTAGGTCAACTAGCATGCTAATGGTTAACTACGGAGTACTTCAAGCCCGTCAAGAACTTCTGAACGTCCCAACGCTAATGAGCTGTGGTAAGCCCTTCTGACCATGACCCAGTTACACTTCGCACTGGGCAGCTGATAAATGGACATGACGTGAATGGTTTTAATAAACAGCCCAAGCCTGGCTTCTTCAGAAAATGCGTTTTCAAATGGCTGCTTGAAGGACTGCGTCTGCCGAAGACCTAAGGCAACCACGGTGACTACCCCATGGTTGGCACAGGACAGAAACGCGAGGCGCAGGTTGCACTGAAGTTTCAAAACACAAACGACGACTGCGTGATGGCAGCATGTAGTTGCGGCCCAAGAAAGGCCCATGTGGAACCAACCAAAGTTCACTGCCTCTCCAGAACAGTCGGCGCTTTGATTGGGGCCCGGGCTGAAGCGCCTCGGTGCTCTCAGGGCTTCCCGGGGGCAAGTCTCCGCTGACGAGCACCAGCAGGTTTGTGTGAAGCCTCCACTGTGGCTCACTTTTTGAAGAAAACCTTAAAAGCACTTCTTCCGCCTTCATTTACTATAAAAAGCCATTAGGTATACTCTTCTGGAGCATCTCCTGTTGTTCTTAAACTGGATGGGTGGAATTCTCCCGGTCACCAGGGGACTTCCTTGAAGTTTCCGCAGGCGACACTGATGGAACTGCTTAGAAGCTCCAGGTGGTTGGTCCCAGTTATGAAGAGAGGCCAAAGAATCACTGCTGCGCAGAATTTTAGTTTGGTCTGGAACTGAGGCCACAGCTGCCCCCACCTCACTGGTTCCCCATAAAGCCAGGGCGTCTGGTGGGCTTGAGTTGTCGGTCAGGGAACAACTGGTGAAGGATGACAGTTTTAGTCGTTTCTTGAGGGAAAAACTCAAACTCTATGTGGGGTTCTCCCATTAGGCAGAGAGTCTTCAGGTCTGCTCTTAGTCTGTTTCTAAGTTCCTGCAGGGCTGTGCACCATCATTTGCACACTCTCACGAGCAGAGACCTTTCTCCCCGAGTCCCTGAGGACTGCCTATGACGCCCAGGATACCTGGCTCTCCCGCGTGTGTATCTGAAAACCATCTATAACTAGCTTCTAGGCAGCCGATTGCTTCCTCCTGCACAGACGACGGAAAAGACCAGTTTCCTAGCCTCCCCTCAGTCTTCAGGGATGAGAAACAGAAAAGACTCCATGCAGTTCAACTATCATACGACCAACCACATCTCAGCTTGTCGATGAACTTCCCAGAGCAACACACACATTGGGGAATTGCCAGCTGATGGTATCAAATGCCTTTGCAAACATTCTGGAAAGTGTGGGGGGGAAATGCACTCTACACCTTTCCTTGTTCTGAAAAGCAACAAAAACCATGTCTTCTGCACTGTATTATTCAGTCACAAATGACTGAGAAAGTGCCTAAATGATCATGCTGTTCATCAGCTGACTGAAGAGAATTCTGGCTAAGATCTTTTGCCCCAGAAAGATGTTAAGATACGGCCTTAGTAAAAGTTCCTATTTTTCTGAAGATGATGACGAGAGTTGTTTCTGGCATTCCGTGGTTATTTACTCACAGATCTGTGTTTAGAAAAGTTTATGCAGGCAGCTACCCAGCGGCTTTCTTTTATACTCAGGATAAAAGGAACATCAGACCCTGGAGCTGTAGCATGCTCGGACTCCGAAGGTCCTCTTCCAAAGCTGGGCCAGGCGACCCTACTTCAGGTACTCCTGATTCACACAGACTTCACCGTAAGCGTAGAAGTCCTGGTAGAAGTCAAGTACTACGAGTACCTCTTCCGTGTTCAGCACTGTATCCAGTGCTGTCGGGATACAGAGCGATCCCTTGATGTTCGAAGCATCTCTTTGGGGAGGGGGCATGATGAAAACTTTCATACACGAAACAACGTAGGATTAAAAGACAGTCTACAATCAATCAAGTGCTAACTTGTGGAGAAATGCATTTTGGAGTGCAATAGTGCTTTTGGGATTTCGAGAAGGGAGAGAAGGGTTTTGAATCATTGTTGCCATTTCAGTAGAATTTATCTCAGCGATGAGGATAGAACCATCTACATTTGTTGGAATCCTTTGGAACTGTAGACTGGTGCACATACCCTCTTTCAGGAAGAGCTAGAAATCTTTGGTTTGATACCGATCAGCACAGTCCTAGATTTCTATAGCTTTGGCAGGCTACCAGTGATCGTATATAACTTATCGTATATATAACTAGTTTGAGCAGCATGTCGCAATGCAGTTTGTTTTAACGGTTTCTTGTTTTTGAGAAATAAGGTAGAGCAAGATGTTGGCCAAGTAGGGCTTGTTTGCAGCAAGCAGCTTTAAAACCCCAGTATTGCCTTCACGGAGCCAATCTTGATCTTTCAATTCTATGTTGTGGTTGCTGAGTCTGAGAGCGCCTTAAAGGTATCCTCATTACTGAAAAGCTTGACATTTGACTGTATGTGTGCTTTTATCTTGTATGGAAATATCGTGTGGATTCTCCATAGGACTAGCTTTTCCCTGCAGGGGCCGTATGGAAGGATTACATGCCCACAGATGATGCAAAGGCGGAACACTGCTGATGGAACTACAAGGATCCTGACGTGTGATTTTTTTTTTCCTTTTAATCTGTTGAGGCCGCCTTTTCTTCCCCTCTGTGGGCACACATCTCTGAAGTAATTCTGGAAACAAAAGGGGGAAATGGCTTGTTGACGAATTCTCACTTTACACACAGCTTTTCAGGAATGCGCCAAACGCATCGAGGGAGGCGGGGCTGTACTCGGAGGCTCGCTCCCTGGTGTGGATCCTGTGATGCAGAGTGAGGGTCGAGCTCCGGGTGAAGGCCTTGCCGCACTTAGTGCACTTATAGGGCTTTTCTCGGGTGTGAATCCTCCGATGCAAAATAAGGTACGAGTTTCGGTTGAAAGCTTTTCCGCATTCACTACATTCATAGGGTTTCTCCCCTGTGTGGATCCTCTGATGTTTAGTAAGGTCTGAGCTCTGGCTGAAGGCCTTCCCACACTCGTTACATTCATAGGGTTTCTCTCCAGAGTGGATCCGCTGATGGAGAATGAGATTTGAACTGTGACTGAAGGCTTTGCCACACTCGTTACATTCATGAGGTTTCTCTCCTGTGTGGATTCTCTGATGCAGGACCAGGTTTGAGTTAAGACTGAAGGCTTTCCCACACTCACTACATTCATAGGGCTTTTCTCCAGTGTGGATTATTTTATGGCGAATAAGGCTTGAACTCCTCGTGAAGCATTTCCCACATTCATCACATCTGTGGGACTTTGCTCCCGTTGGAGCTTCTTCAGAGGCGTTAAAGTTTGAACTCAGACTGAAGCTTCTTCCCAAACCTTTACCCTTCTCCCTTGGACCTCTCTCTCCCGTGGTGGGTTTTTTTTCCTTGACTGTAGCTGGCCCCGAATCTCTTTTTTCTCTTCCTGTTTTTTCCTCAGGGTTTCTCTGCTGCCTTTCTACTGTTCTGCCCTGCTGTTCACGTTTTTCTCCAAAATCTTTCTGGAATCTTCCTGTTGTCTCCCCACGTGACGCTGAGTCTTCTGCGATTTCAGCCTTTGAGGCTGACTCCTCATTCTCATTCCTGTTTTCACAACCTGACACAACAGAAAATATAAATGGCACCATTTTCTTTTGAATATGTGGGTTAATCAACTGACACTGTTTTCCTGGAAGCTTCTACATGCCTGCAAAATGACCTCACAGTATTAACCGGGGATAAAATATAAGAAAAGCAGGGGGAAAGAATCGGGACAACATGGAGTAGAGTTGGGGAAGGAGAGGGCGGCCTGAGTGGGAGGAGAGCAGAGGGAGCGCAGGGAGAGGATGGGAGCGCACATGGGGGTGGGGGAGTGAAGAGCAGAGGGAGCAGAACCAGTTAGGGAAGGAAGGGAGGAGGAAAGAAGGAACGTAAGAGGTCACAATTCACAGTTCTAGGATTTGGTTACCCAATTATTAATATGAAGGAATATATGTTAAAAAAAATCATGTTCTGCTTCTAATATTAAGTAGGAGTTTGAACAAAGAGAATGGACAGGTCCCTCCTAGAAACGGTAAGCGGTACTAGCCCACAAAGGAAGGCATATATATAGTTAATAAAGGAAAAGCGAATACTCCGATTCTGGGAGATTTTTAACAAGGCCACGGTTAGCGGACAACACAGGAGCTCTCGACTTGGCAGGTCACTTGGGTCTTCAGACACAGGAGTCTCCCTCCTCCAGCGAGAGCAGCATAGTTGACAGTGCTCAATTATCAGAGTGGAGAGTGAGGAAGTTGATTGGGGCATTAGTAAACGTGACTAAAAACCTTCACTGACAGACCACTGAGAGTACCTGAGAACAGAAAAGAAACTGAGAACAATTCTGGATATGGCCCCTGAAGGAGACGATGTAAAAAACCAAAATCTTACAAACGCGAAGCTGATCCTGTCTTTTGGCAACCAGCACATTAAAACATTGGAATACATCTTTATTGTAGTCTGCTAGAGTCTGTGTGTCATTATTTTTAAATTGAGAGTGAAAATTGTTCAATGAACATGCACGTTTTATACTTGTCTAGATTTATCTAAGAAAAAACCCAAGTTATCGCAACTCTACTATTCTTTATTTAGTTGGCTTTAAGAGCCCTTTCCAAGTGGGTCTGCACTATCCCAAAGAGGCTCCCGGATGCAACCACGGAAACCTGATTAGTATCTAAGCCCTGACTTTAGTGATGAAATCGCCGTAAATACCGAACCAACCGTAAGAAGAGGAAATCGGTCCACTTCTTTTGAATTCCAAGCCAAGGTCCTTGGTTATTGGGATAATTCCCAGACTGTCTCCAACTACTGTTTGCTTTTTGAAGTTATCACGGGGTAGGTAATACCCAGCTAAGAAACACAGATCAGTTCTTTGGCTTAATGTTCAGAATCTGGTCCAAAGTACCAAGAAACTACCACCTGGTTAGGTCTATGGTTCAAAACAAAACCTGAGGCTTCTTTAGTAACTCTGTGTCTTCAGTTCCCTTCACTCACCCTCCCTCTGTCCTCGTAGGCAGAAATCTCTCTGTGGACATCCCATGACACAACTTATTAGAGAGCTGCTTTGCAGTACTGTCTTCCAGGGATTGAGGGAAGGGGACAAATGGGAATGTTTGTCAACCGGGTCACCTTGTCTTATCTGGTTGATGCCTCTGAGAGCTTGTTTTTGTTCTTACTACGTGTCCAGGAGCAGAACTGTCTGTACAAGATTACCGTTAGGTTTGGAAACGGGGAGTCCTGATCGTAAGGGAGGTCACAGGCACAAGTCATGAGTAATTACACAAAGCTGTTGTGGAGCAGCGCTCACAGGATGGAAGAAGAAAGCAAGCCCATGGAAGGATGCCTGTTAAGTCCAGGAATGTGGTCCTAGGTTAGGATTAGACTGATGATGATCAGGTCTCACCCGGACCTCTATAATAGGAAATACAGATTCTATCCCCTCGACAGAGGCACCTACATTACAACCGATGGGGACTGGAGACAAATCCTAGCTATCAGAGTGGTAGAAGAGGCGAGAACTCAGAACATAAGAGTATTTCTGATTTCAAACAGCAAAAACTACCTAAAAGTAAAAAAATCCACTTGGAATCAGGGAATCACGGTATCAGGCTTTGGGGTTTAAATGAACACAAACGTGCTCCTTCTCTATCTGGCCTGAAGAAAAGGGGCTCAGCAGTCTCTCAATCCTTGTCAACTCTCAACTGAACACATCAGAGATCCCGCAACTAACAAAAAAAAGACGCAAAACAATCTTAGACAATAATCCTGCATCAGTCTTACCCTGGGAAAACACGTTCCCATAATTCTCCTGCCTGTTGTCCCTATTGAGATTCCTCCGAGCCAGGTTCTGACATCCCCATTCCTCCAGGATGAGGGACACGGCCATGTCCTCGATCTTCACCATTGCCTGAAATAATATGAGATCCCCACACTCAGTTCTCCCACAGCTCAGGGACAATCCCATCACCCAAACTTGGGAGTCAGGGACAGAGTTGACTGCAAGCCTGCAGGATGCTGGGAAAGAAAAGGGGATCATGCCAGGCTCTGGTGGATGGGGAGGGTGGGAGTGGGGCTAGTCTGTGGGAAGGGGCATCAAGACTGTGTCCGGGGTGGAGAGAGCTAAAAGAGCTCCAGAAAGAAAGGCGGACACGAGGGTCTCAGGAAGGCAGAGGGGCCCACCGCTCACCTGGGAATCTGCCGTGAATAGTGCAGATGCCATCGCCTGGTCTCTGGGACTCCCCTCGTGATGAGGGGCAGGAACATGGGTGGCAGGGAGAGCTGAGGGAGGAGAAAGGAGCTGTGAGTAAGACCAGCTCTGCTCTGGTCCTCCCCTCCAAGAAGGGCCCGGGGCACTCTCTTTCCTGCCCAAGCATGTTTGATGTTCAGTGTTCAACTACAGAGACTCTAACGAAGAAAAAATATGACCTCTGCTTTTCCAAGTCACAAAAGGGTCCTTAAAATCACCTGATCCAAACCCTTTAGTTTAAAGAGGGGGAAACCAAACACCGAGAAAGTAAATGACTTGCCTAATGTCACACGGCTAAGAATGGCAGAGCCAGAATTACAACCTGGCTTCCTATTCTTCCTTACCTACAGAAGTGGGTAACTTCTGGTTCATGATTCAAGTTGGGCTCACAATTTAATTTTCTCCAGTCCAAGGAACAGTACCAGAGCATCACAACCTCACTCAGTTGCAGAAAATATAACACGAGCATTAACAATCTTTAGTAGTAATATCTTGAAACACAGGGCACAAAGGTGGTCTTTTCTGGCCATTTTTGGTCCTCCTACTTTTCTCCCTCACTTAGCCACAGTTTTTTGATTAAACATATGCGTGGTTCAAATGTCGATGAGACACTAGTACGCAGAAGTGTGGGTCGACCCTGATCTGATACAAGACAGTCTATCAGACGATCACACAAACTGCAGTGTGTAACAACAACTATACAAATTTTTAAACCACAAAATTAAGATCTTCCCTTGCCAAGTAGTATTAGATTTGGTAATGTTACTGGATAAACAGAGAATGTTACTGAGCTGCAAAGACATAAGAGAAATGAATCTGAAACTGAATTACTAAACCTTGTAACTATTTCAGACCACAGAGTTATAAAACAAGCTAAAGCAAAATGTGCAGAAAGACCGAGTATCTAGCATCTAGCATCTTAACCTTCCGAGAATTAGGAAAGACTCTGGAAGAGGAGTAGTGCTGGGAGGGAATTAAGGATAAATGCATATGGCTGAATTCCCTGAAGAACTATTTACTAAGTATCAAATGTATGTGCCAGGGGCTCTAAACCTGCTATTCTGGTGCCAGGAGGTGCTAATCGAGCACTGAAAACTACAAATATTCTCCTCAATGTTGATTCCCCCCTGTGGAGTGTGGAGAGACCTCACAAGCCCTGTACAGGACATGACTGGGACTGGATGGTCAGTGGTGGATCAGTCAGCACAACGCACTGATTTAGATTCCTCCAGAATGCACAGAAGAGAATGTTTTCTGAAGCTCTAATATTCCTGCCTTAAATGTCAGCACAAATGAACACACTGGTTAAGGAACGTACCTTTAGCAATGCTTACTGAACAACAGGACTTTTAATATGGTCTTGTTTTTACTGATATTCTATGCACCTACTTTGATTTTTAAATTGAATAAAGACATAGTTAATATTTTCCTCAAAGGAAAAAAAAATTTAAACTGATTTTTATGTATAACCCTGAAATGACATTTCTCCTATTCCTCAAACAAAAACAAAGTATTTTCTTCCATCCTTTTCCCACTGTTTGAAATTTCTGAAAGCTAGAAAAAGAGGTTATATGACATTTTTATACATTTTAAATTAAATGAATTTTAAAAATGATCCTTTTCAAGGTAACTTATGAGATTGGACCAGAGTGTTTCAAAACCCAGGCTGGTAAATATATAACCTCTTCCCAGCAATTTCTTGTAAAAAAAAAAAAAAAAAAAAATCTGCTGGACGTTCAAAATGCTAAAAATTCCAAGAATAATGTAATGTCCATCCAAGTTCATGATGTACATTTCATTTACCTTCTCAGTAACATTAACTCCTTAGGCTGCTCTCTAAGTTAGATTTCCCCCAATATTTAGTAATAATGACAATAATGTGTAATGATAAAAAGACAAGCATGCTTTTTTAAAAAAATTACAGGCCCTCAGCAACACAGAGAGGGCACCCCCATCCCGAATAGTTTGCTTTTCCCCACATGAAACCTTGCTAAGTTCTTACTGCGTGACTGTAAGAGGCGAGGTTTCCGAGATGAATGCTTAAAATGGGACTGGGTGGCCTCATGATGAAGGTCAAAGCTCGAGGACTCCTGCACTGGATCCAGAGGCACCATCCCCCTTGCGAGCATTTCAGGTCCGTGAACTTGACCTGGGACCTGAGGACAAACAGGGTGGGCTTGTGGGTAAATCACTTTTTAAATGGGAATTTAAACAAACAAAAAGATGGTAAGCAGACCAGTGGATGCAGGAGAAGGAGGCCAGCACACCTTTCAGTACCCAAGCAGAGCATAAAGAGTAACCACAAGGACAACTACAGCCCACTTTAAATTGTAACTTGCTCTTTGTTCCAGGCTTAAAACCCATGCACTGCTTACACACAATCGGTTTCACCTCTTCTTACCTGCTGTCCTGATAGATCAAGCTCTAAATCTTCCAGAAGGGTCACGGCCTCCTCCCCACTATCGGGACGGTATTCCTGCAGCCAGACCTGGAGCTCCTTAGGCAGGATGGAAAGGAACTGCTCCAGCACCAGCAGCTCCAGGATCTGCTCCTTGGTGTTGATCTCCGGTCGTAGCCACTGATGACAAAGTTCTTTCAGTCGACTCAGAGCCTCTCGAGGTCCAAACGTGTTCTGGTAACAGAAGTGCCTGAACCGTTGGCGGAAAATCTCTGGGTCGGGAGGAGGCGTCTCCTGCAGGCTGGAATCCTGCCCCCACATATGGTCTTCTTCATCTTCCTCTTCTACCTTCACTATTACGATCCCATCCTTCTCCTGGGCAGCCTGTGGGGACAGACCTGTGGCTTCCCTGGACTCTGCAGTCATCATTCAGGCTCAGGGGGCGGACTTGATCCAAATAGGGTCTGGGCTCTTCTTCCTGGCTTAGGAGATGTTTGCTGAAATGTTTCGGTGCTGTTCCTGACACAGTAAACAGAATTATTAGTGCCTTTATGAAAAGTGACTTGTATTAGCACTTCACACAAGGCTGCACATCGAAGCACTGAAAACACCTCTGAAGAGCAAAAGAAAAAGCCTCCAGAGGCACGCTGTTTTCACTGTCACTTTATATATTAAGGTTTGCAGAGGGGTTCCTGGCTGCCTTTGGTCGGTAGAGCAAGTGACACTCTTGATCTTGGGGTTGTGAGTTCGAGCTCCACATCGGGTGTAGAGATTACTTAAAAATAAAATCTTAGGGCGCCTGCGTGGCTCAGTCAGTTGAGCATCTGCCTTCGGCTCAGATCATGATCCCAGGATCCTGGGATCGAGTCCCACATAGGGCTCCCTGCTCAGCAGGGAGTCTGCCTCTCCCTCTGCCTGTCGCTCCCCCTGCTTGTGCTCGCTCTCGCTCTGACAAATAAATAAATAAAATCTTTAAAAAAAAGTTATTAAAGGGGCGCCTGGGTGGCTCAGTTGGTTAAGCGACTGCCTTCGGCTCAGGTCATGATCCTGGAGTTCCGGGATCGAGTCCCACATCGGGCTCCCTGCTCAGCAGGGGGTCTGCTTCTCTCTCTGACCCTCCTCTCTCTCATGCTCTCTCTCTCTCTCAATAAAAAAAAAAAAAAGTTATTAAAAATAAAATCTTAAAGGGGCACCTGGGTGGCTCAGTCGGTTAAGCATCTGACTTAGGCTCAGGTCATGATCTCAGGGTTTTGGGATCGAGCCGTGTTGGGCTCCCAGCTCAGCAGGGAGTCTGCTTGTCCCTGTCCCTCTGCCTGCCTCTCCCCTCGCCTGTGCTGTCTCTCTCTCAGATAAATAAAATCTTAAAAAAAAAAATTTTTTTTTCAGAGAGAAACCTCCAATAGGCCAATTCCACCCTCGGGGTGTCTGCCTGAGTCCAAACACCTCACCTCCAGGGGCGGCAGGTTATGACACCAGGCTTTTACGGCACTCAGCCCAGCGAGAGCCGAGTGTCAGCAGGGTGCCAGGCACCAAGCTTCAAGCAGTACACGCATCATCTCATTTCCTCCCACAACGGCCCTAGCAAGGAGGCACAACCGCTGGTGCCCTTTTTTTTTTTTTTTTTTTTTGAGAGAGACAGCGAGAGAGGGAACACAAGCAGGGGGAGTGGGAGAGGGAGAAGCAGGCTTCCCGCTGAGCAGGGAGCCCGATGCGGGGCTCGATCCCAGGACCCCGGGATCATGACCCGAGCCGAAGGCAGACGCGTAACGACTGAGCCACCCAGGCGCCCCCGCTAGTGCCACTTTACAGATGGCGTGTTGCGACTGACACCAACACTCTCCCTTGGTTCAATGCCGAACTGTCCCATGTCACCGAGTGTGTCCCAAGGAAAAAGTGGGAGCCTCCCTCCCCCACACAGAGCTGCCAAAGTGCCCTCATTTCACTTGCGCAATTTTAGGTATTGTGATATTTCCCAGTTTATCTGAGACGAGGTATGTGGAATAGTGGATTATTTTATCTAGCTTGAATGAATCCTGCCTTCATAAAAGAGACAAGTACGGGGGCCGGGCAAACTGGGTGAAGGGGGTCAAATGATAGATTCCCAGGTCTAAGATAAATAAGCCATAGGAATACGATGTCCAACGCGGTGACTAGAGTTAATAATACTGTGCTGCATGTTTCAAAGTTGCTAAGTGATCTTAAAAACTCTCATCACAAGAAAAAACATTCTGGGTGCCTGGGTGGCTCAGTCGGTTAAGCGTCTGCCTTCAGCTCAGGTCATGATTCTGGAGTCCCAGGATCGAGCCCCACATCGGGCTCCCTGCTCAGCGGGGTGTCTGTTTCTACCTCTGACCCTCCCCACTCTTGTGCTCTCTCTCTCTCACTCTCTCTCAAATAAGTAAATAAAAATCTTTAACTAAAAAAAAAGCAAAAAAAATTTGTAACTGTGGTGACAGATGTTAACTAGATTTACTGTGGTGATCATTTTGCCCAAATATCAAATCATTATGGTGTATACCTGCAACTAATATATTGTTATATGTCAATTATAGCTCAAAAGAAAAGAAAAAAGACAAGCAGCTTAAAGACTCTGGAAGAGAAACTACAATTTGAAGAAGTACTAATGGTACAAACACACGTGAAGAAACAAATGGCTCAGATGAAGCTTCTATCTACAGAAAGGTTTTACTCACCCAGATAAGGAGATAAAAACCAATGTCAATCCAAATCAAACAAGATGTCAACCAATAAGTGGCAAAGCTACTTTAGAAAAAAAAAGTGCAAGGAAAGACTATTAGGAGAATAGTTGTATGCTGGGAAATAGTCTCCATCGTTCTGTAATTTTAACTGCCAAAAATGATATTAAGTATCCTGGAAAAACCGCAGCATCTATACATTTGAAAAACTTGTAAATATTTTCTACTGTTTAAAATCTTCCAAATGAAGAATTTTATAGACCTTAAAAATCTGTTTTTTAAAAACATAAAACACCTTTTGATTAGCTTTTTTTAAAGTAGGCTCTACGCCCAATGTGGGGCTTGAACTCACGACCCGCAAGATCATGCCCTATTGACTGAGCCACCCAGGCACCTCACCTTTTGATTATCAGTTTTTAAGAACAGGTGATTTGGGGCGCCTGGGTGGCTCAGTTGTTAAGCGTCTGCCTTCGGCTCGGGTCATGATCCCGGGGTCCTGGGATCGAGCCCCGCATCGGGCTCCTTGCTCTGTGGGAAGCCTGCTTCTCCCTCTCCCACTCTCCCTGCTTGTGTTCCCTCTCTCTCTGTGTCTCTCTCTGTCAAATAAATAAATAAAATCTTAAAAAAAAAAAAAAAGAACAGGTGATTTAAAGGTATGGAAAATGGAAATGAACTAGCTGAATTTCAACAACCAAAATTTAGCATGGTGGACAGGACCAATCATGAGTTACTAAGCCGAGCTGACAATGTGTTTCTTCCACCTGAATTGACAAATCTTTGTGAGGTATCTTTTCAATTCAACAGCACCAAATTCAAGCTTTAGAGACAGAGCATCCATTGCTGTACCATCCAAAGCCAGAAATTTTATTTATCTTTTTAATTTTTTTGAGGGGTTGAGCTTTTTAATATCATAAATCAGTGTCCAGCCTGGCCTCTCACTGCCAGGCCTATTTATCTTTTTAAATTAATTAATTTATTTTATTTGAGAGAGAGAGCGAGAAAAGAGTGAGCACGAGCTAGGGGGAGGGGCAGAGGGAGAGGGAGAAGCAGGCTCCTCACCGAGCAGGGAGCCAGACATGGGGCCAGGACCCTGAGATCACGACCTGAGCGGAAGGCAGACGCTTAATGGAGGGAGCCACCCAGGTGCCCCTAAAGTCATGAATTTTATTTTATTTTATTTTTTAAAGATTTTATTTATTTATTTGAGAGAGAATGAGATAGAGAGAGAGCATGAGTAGGGGGGAGGGTCAGAGGGAGAAGCAGACTCCCTGCTGAGCAGGGAGCCCGATGTGGGACTCGATCCCAGGACTCCAGGATCATGACCTGAGCCGAAGGCAGTCGCTTAACCAACTGAGCCACCCAGGTGCCCATGAATTTTAAACTAGCAAAGCATTTCTAATTACATGGCTCTCATTAAAAAAGATTATTAGTAATTTTGGGTGGAAAAGGGATCACATGCATTTAAAGGACAAAAATTATTTTTCAATAGCACAATTTAATGTATTTTTTGTTTTATTATACAAAATGCTGGGAAAATAATACATGTATACAATTTTTACAAATAATTTTTACAGATAGGAATGTGTGTCCGAAAAAAGATTCGGCGATGACTGTTTTTTGGTTTGTTTGGAGCAGAACGCTTCATGAATTTGCATGTCATCCCCGTGCAGAGGCCATGCTAATTTCTGTATCATTCTAATCTTAGTGCATGTGCTGCCGAAGCAAGCACTGGAGATGAATGTTTTAGTGGCAAAGACTATGATTTTAATCTGACATTTATCACAGGATTAGTTTTTCTATCTTACTTTTTTTGTCCTTAAAAAAATTAAAATCCTTATTAAAGTAGCAGACTGTGAGAACAATAAAAAACGCTACATCCAAAAAGGCTTTCTATATAAACTGAGAGAATGTGGGAATTCAGTCATTTTTTTCAATGATTTTAAGCTGGTAAAGCCCAGTGCAAACCATCCTCCAGCCCTTCCCGCTGACTTCCTTCAGACCCCTTCTGCACCCACCCTCCTTGCTGCAGTAAGTATGTTTTTCAACTTCAGAGCAGCTTTAATCAAGTCCTTCCAGCTACAATCATTCAATTTCCTAAACATCTCTCCAGATCTACAATATGCAAAGTGTCCTCCTAGACTGAGGGGAACACAAAGATGAGAAGCCTGATTCCTATTTTTACACAAGTAACTATAGTACAAAGCAGAATGTACCAACCGTTCTATGGAGGTTTCAATACCAGTGCTAGAGAAGCCAGAGAAGTAACTGATGTGTCAACAAGGCAGCTTCTAGCAAGAGGCACCCTGGAGCTTGGGGCATCAGAATAGCCAAGACCTCCCTAGGAGCGCTTCCTCCATCGGAAGAGGCGGTGAGTTGGCAGTCCACGACATCACTCCTTTGGCTAGCTAGCTTCTTCCCAACTGGAGGCTAAATAATTCCTATGAACCTTAGTTTCTCTAATTTCATTCTGAAAAGTCAAAAGAAAGACTACCTTTTCCTGCTACGCCTCCCACAATTACTTTCCATCACCCTAGTTCAGGTTCCAGATCTCCTGCCTAAATTGGTGACAGGGTCCCAGTTTCCCCAGCTGCAATCTCTGCCCAGTTGAAACGAACAACAAACTGAGGAGGTCAGTGCAGTTTTGCCGAAGAATGCTTCTGGTCATTCCCTCCTTCCCTAAATTAGTGTCAGTGAATCCTTGGTATCTACCAATTTCGTGTTCAAAGAACACACCCTACTCTACTTTTCCAGTCTTATCCCCAAGTACTGATCCCCCCAAATTTCAGCCTATCTGACCATTCATGTTCCTGACGCACAGGGTGTGATGTTCCATCTTCACGTCTCTGCTGTGCACAATTTCCCACCATTACAACTTTGTTGGTCAAATTTTTACTTGTCAAGATGTAAAATCTCTTCTGACACTCCAAATTAAATAAGGTACCTTCCTCTTTTGAACACCCTCAATCTTGCTTTGTTCCTATTTATGCCATCTATATTCTCCTTATATTATCATTATTTGGACTGCAGTTCCTATCACCCCCCAACTAAATTCTAAGCCCCTCAAAGACAGAGAGTCTTCTTTGTACTTATCTGTTACAAGACCTGGCAGTTTAATTCCATTAAATTGAGTAGAAGAAATAAGAACTACTCAAAATATCACCGCTCCCCCTGCCACTTTTTATTTCCCTTTAGTGGCAATTAGCGATCAGATACTCTACTAATAATTCAATCACTAAAGCCCAGAATCTCACCTTCCTGGATTCCTCTCCTTACATGGATTCAGTCTCCAAGCACCAGGGAGAATGATCTAATTCCATCAAGTCAGGCTTCCTCTCTCTGCTTCCCTGCCTTCAGTCATGTCCTACCTTACTATGATGATTCTTACAAAAACTCTATGGCCTTCCAAGAGCCACCCTCCAGTACCTGGTCCCAGTTTCCCCTCACGCTTCACTGTCCATCATCGATTTCTGCCCCTCTCGTGCGTGAGCCTTTTCCATCCACAAAATGAGTATCTCCTAAATAGGCCTTGGATTCTGATCACCTTCCTTTACTCACATCACAAAGTCTGGGATTTCCTCTCCCAGTCTTCTCTGCCTTTTCAAATCCTTCGTATCCTTCGGCACTTAGCTAAAATGCCACTCACCCCTCACTGCTGTTCAATTCAAGAACATTCACTCCTAGAGGCATAACAGTAAGAGCGGATGTTCACTGAGCGCTTTCCATGGAGCAGATATTAAGTCTTTCACGTAACAATCTTAGCAGGTAGTAGCTACAATTATTATCGCACTTTACACAGACAAAACTAAGGTTTACTGATGTTAAATAACACACCCAAGGTCATACAGCAATTAAATGGTAGAGCCAGGATTTGAAATTCCGTCTGTGGGACCCCTCAGTTCAAGCTCTAACCATCATTCCGTCCCAACACCTGGGGTAAGGAAGAGCTTCTGTGTAGACACAGATTCTTTTTAAGAGGGGGGCCTATGAGGATGACCACCCAGGAATGGGCCTCATCTGCCATCTGCAGTTTTCACCAGAGAGCGGTGTGGCTAAGGAGACACAGCAGGAGATGCAAGTAGGAATCACCTCAAATCTAACCAGGGGGGACCATCCAACAGGATAACTGAGCAGGACTGGTGCGGAAACTAGCCTAGCATCAGAGCTCTATTTTTATGAAGATTTTATCCTGTCTCGGCTATACAAAGGAGGATAAAGGAAAGGAATCTTTTTTCTTTTTTAAGATTTTTATTTATTTATTTGACAGAGAGACAGAGACAGCGAGAGAGGGAACACAAGCAGGGGGAGAGGGAGAGGGAGAAGCAGGCTCCCTGCTGAGCAGGGAGCCCGAAGTGGGATTTGATTCCAGGACCCTGGGATCACGACCTGCGCCAGAAGCAGACACTTAACGACGGAGCCACCCAGGTGCCCCGAGGAAAGGAATCTTGATTTGTGTCCCACCTAGGCCAGAGTTTTAAAGAGTGGGTTACTTTTTGGGGCGGCTGGCTGACTCAGTTGGTGGAGCATGCAACTCTTGATACTAGGGTTGTGAATTCAAGCCCCACGATGGACGCAGAGCTTGCTTAAAAAAAAAAAAAAGTGGGATACTTCTCGAGTCAATGGAACTCAATAGGAAGAGACTGAAGAGGAAGTGAGACACAAAGGGACAGAGATGAGGGCACGGGCACATTCCCTCTTCCCCAGTTATGACAGGTCCTCTCCCCCATGCGTCAACATTTCTGTTCCTACTCTGAGAAAGAGAAAAGTCACAACAGCAGTGGAAGGGCTGGATTTTATTTTAGGTTTCTCAGATGATCTCAGCAAACAATCTTTTCTCCTCTCACTAAACTTCTGGCCCAAATGCTCTCTGCCAAGCATCTGCCATGGAAGTCCTTATCTTTCTCTGCAATTTAATTTTTCGTAACTTCCTCCTCAACTGGACCACTGCTAAGGGTATGTTTCTTTGTTTCCTTTTTCTTTTTTTTAAAGCAAGCTCTACTCTATGCCCAAAGTGGGGCTCAAACCTACCAACCTGAGAACAAGAGTCATCCGCTCCACCAACTGAGCCAGCCAGGAGCCCTAGGGTAGGTTTCTTTGTACCTCTTAGACCACTTAGTACGATTCCTTGCAAACATTAGTTTTTAAGAAGTAATTGATTGAATTTACGGTGTTACTATTTTTGTGCCCACTCATACAGCACTCAATACTGCCCTCAAATCAGCCCCAGGGGCTACCTGGAAGAGTCTCAATAAGCTGTACCACCACTCACCAGCCGATAATTTTAGGCAGATTAATTTCTCTCTCTGAATTTGTGCAATGGGGATAAAAATCGTTATTTTCCTCACAGAGTTGTTGTGAGGATTACATGAATTAATGCATGTAAAGCACTTAAAACAGTGTCCGGCATTTGGTAGGCACTAGATAGGTGCTTTAATTTCTTTTCAATAAACAGAAAGAGATGTAAGTATGCTCTACAATTTTCAGCCCGCTTAAAAGACTAAGCAACAGGACAATTCCTGTAATACTGAGGGCAGCACAGCTTGGAATACCTACATTCTAGTCTCCCACAAATAAGTTACATATCCCCCAGTGAGTTATTTAACGTCTCTGGCACTTAGTATCCTTATCTAAGGATAAGGGGGAGGGGAGCAGAAAACTACCTCTGGGGTCCCTCTGTGCTGAAAAACATTCTGACACCCTATCTGATTGAGATAAGATTACCCCCAGCAACTGGTTCTCATTGAGGATAAATATCAACGATTTTCTTACAAAAAGGGCTTGGAGTTACAAGCTCAGTTTATTCCGAAGGCTATTTTCTCAACAGGCCAGTACCTTTTCCAGGGCATAGTCTTGAAAGTTTAAACAAACTGCACCACCCCTCCCGATTTTTTAACAGAGGTTTACTTGAGAGGGAGAATGCGAGAGAGCACAAGCAGGGGGAGCAGCAGAGGGAGAGGGAAAAGCAGGCTCCCCACCGAGCAGGGAGCCCGACACCAGGAGCCCAGGAGCCCGACACCAGGACCCCGACACCAGGACCCAGGAATCATGACCTGAGCCGAAGGCAGACACTTAACCGACAGAGCCACCCAGGCACCCCCAATTTTTTTTTTTAAATATGAAAAACCTCCCTTTAAAAGACAGCTACCTACACAAAGAATACCGAGACTACCTGAGAACGAAAAGGTAAAATTTAACATAACCACTCACCTATACTTAGATGCAATAGAAAGTTAAAAAAAATTAAATGTTTAGATCAAGTAGAGAATCAGTAAAAGACTATGTGTATTTAAGTAGCTAGTTTCCCTGTTGATACTTTAATACCGGTGAAAACTGCCTGAAATAACTAACAGGCATCTTGCACAGTAATTCAGAGACAACACAAACTTGGGAGATACATTCTGGGGCAAATTATCATAATGGGTCACTATGTAATGTAAGCTATTTCTCCACATTTGGCCAGCATATATACTAACAGTGCTTCGTTGATCTGGTTACAATGAATTCTCCACAATCCCATTCAACAAGTATTTACTGACCACCTCCAATCCGCCTAGCACCGGCCTGTACAATAAATGCTTTCTTTGGTCCCTGGCCATGTAACAGCCACTCTCTATAATGAAAAGTATCTTATTGTGTACTGGAGGCACTGCAGGAAAGGGACGGGAGGGGCGCCGTGTCAGGCTAAACTGTAGCTGAATCTTTCAATTACACTGACCAAATCAAATAATTTCAAAGTTGGAAGGGCCTTTTGAGAAAATCGAGTTCATTTTATTTAAAGATGAGAAAACTGAGAGCTGGAGAAGAGTCCTGCATCACCCAAGGTCACTCAGGCAATCAGTCTCCTAAGCGCTGGTGCAATTTCCACAAACTCCCTTCACTCTTCACCCACTCCAAGACAAGCAGATTAATTACCCAGAACTGGAAAAAAAAAAAAAAAATCCACCTAGTCTTCCGGAGAGATCATTTCTAAAGGTTTTCAAAATATTCCGCAAGGCGGAACGAGAGAGTGAGATGTATAAAACCCGAATCAAGTCTTTATCCCCTCTAAGCTTCAAATACTCTTTAATCACCGCTTGGGGGTGGGGGGTGGGGTGAGAAGCAGGTGATTTGGAAACACGTCAGCGGCACCTCGGAACGTGTCCACTGCTCGGCCTTCCCCGTTTTTCACCTCGAGGTCCTGAAGGACCCCGAAATAAACCAAAAAACCCTCTCCCTGGAATCAAAGCAAATGGCGACGAAGGGAAGGCAGTCAAATCAGACAGGGGTCGGCTCGCTCGCGAACCGGGTTCTCAGAAACGTCAAACGACGATGACGACACTGCGGGCGCGGGGCCCGGCTTCTCCCCAGGTCTCCGTGCACCCCCGGCCCCTAGACCCTCGCCCCCTCCCCGCCTGGGCCCGGGGGCCGGCGCTTCCAACCGCCCGGCCTGGGGACGAACAGGGGCTTGGGCTTTGTCCACACTCCGCCCGGGCCGCCTGGAGGGGACCCCGGGGCCGCGGCTGCAGAGCCCACCCTCACGCACACACCCGGCGGCGGCGCCCGCCCTCCCCAGAGGCCGGCCCCAAGTCTCACCGTGAGCCCCGGGAGCGGCCTGGGGGCGCTGGGCGAGAAAGGGGAGCTGACTCTGGGGCTCAGGCCGGCCGAAGGGCGCTGCACACGGACCTAGGCCCTCCCGACGCCTCGACACAGACACAATGAGTCACAAAGGCCGGAAGTGTGTCAGCACCTCGCCTTCCGGGACTGCGCTGCGCTTCCGGGTTCTCTCTAGGAGCGCAGGAGGATTTTGCATCTCGGTGCCCGAGTCGCTGGACCGCGCTCCTGCCCTGGGTGCTCCGCTCAAGCCTCCAGCCGCGAGGATCCCCCGCGCCCGGCTCTTGCGCCGGGAGTTAGCGCCGGGGACGGACGGGAGGCGGGGTTCAGCTGACCGGCTCCCGCACCAGTCCATATGATAATTCGATTTCTGCTGTCCTTTCCATCCAGTAATTATAGTTATTGTCAAGCAATAATAATTCTTAGTAATTGCTTGTCTGTGGCAGAGCAACTGAAACCAGGCTGTGTCAACAGAGGAAGATCAAAATGAAGCCAGGGGTGGCTGGTTTCACAAAACTGCCGTGGTAGCTTCTCTCTGGCCCTGGAGCTGTCGGCCAATCGAATGCATGGTGTTTTCCAATATTTGGCCTGTGGACAAAGGACATATTTCCACAACCAACGTAGCTGTAAGAGCCTGTGTTTTGCCCATATGGCATATGCTATTATAGCACTCTGAAAACTTTTGCCCTCAGGGTGCTTTCACAACCTTCACCTCTGGCTTTCACTTTCACCTGACAAAGTCAACCTTGCTTCATTTTCTGTGCAAGGGTGACCCGGCTTTAATGGTTGTAACTTTGCTCTATGTTCCAAGTCAAGTTCACGAAAGAGACTGAACTTAGTAGTGGGTGCATGACTGCTATTGCTTGGGAGAGATTACTTAAAAAAAAAAAAAAAAAAAAGTTGAAAACTAAAAAACAATTACAGTATCATTAAATGAAAATTGCGAAGTGGAGAAACATAATCACTCCTAATCCCTCCCCCCTAACCAGTCTGTGACGGCTTTCACTCCTCCCTTTCCTCCCTGCTTTCATATATATGTCAAATCTTTATTATTATTATTTTTTAAAGATTTTATTTATTTATTTGACACACAGAGAGAGAGCACAAACAGGGGGAGCTGCAGGCAGAGGGAGAGGAAGAAGCAGGCTCCCCGCGGAGCAGGTAGCTCAACATGACACGGGGCTGGATCCCAGAACCCCGGGATCATGACCTGAGCCGAAGGCAGACGCTTAATGGACTGAGCCACCCAGGTACCCCATATCTTTTTTATTTATCATTTGAAACATAGTTCAAAACTACAGTTGTATTGGATAGATGGCTGGTATGCGTTAAGTAGGTGCCACATTCGTGTTGTGTGACCACTTTTCAGACCAGAGCAGAATGGGTCAGGTTTGGGCATCTGACGGAAAAACAGCTTACATATATCCTGACTGGTGGAACTATGGAGGTGGCCTGGCCTGAGAGCTTTAATGGAACAGTAGGGAACTACACCATTAGATACCCTTTCCTGGGGAGTTTCAGTGGGAGATACACATGTAAACAATCAGAAAGCAGGGCAAGGGGAGCCTGGCTGGCTCTGTGGGGAGAGCACGCCACTCTTGATCTCAGGGTCATGAGTTCGAGCCCCACGTTGGGTGTACAGATTACTAAAAAAAAATAAATAAACTTAAAAAAAAATGCTGTGAGGGTAACACACTGTTCACCTTAAAAAAAAAAAAAACAGGGCAAGCAGAAATCAGTAATTGGAAGCCAATAGGTGATAGAAGCATGAAAAGTCATGAGTAGACAGAGGTTTGAGGAGAGAGAGAACTGAACTATGGAAACAAAGGCAATAAGGGAATGGTCACCACATGGCAGAGCTCACAGACGGGAGCCAGCTAGTAGTGAGGGCCCACAGCAGAAAAAGGTGATAACCTGAGTCACCTTCAGGCCCCGAATAACATTCTGTGATGTCAGTGCATCCTGTGGCCCTATCTCCCCGTGCGTCCTTACGTACAATAAATCCCTTGCCAACAAAAGAGCCTAACTTTGTTTCTTGCCACCTGGAAAAGCCCAATCTGATTGATGTGACATCATGTGCACTGTTGTTGTTGTTTTTTTTAATCTTTTTTCTTGGTCAACTATCCAACATGGGAGTGGAGGTTGATAAGCTGGAGTGGACGACTGGAATATGAAATCAAGACTAATCATCCGGATGCAGCAAGCAAGAAAAATCCAGTTACGCTCTTAAAGGAATTGTCAGCGATAAAGTCTTGGTATCAAACTTCGCATGCATAGTCAATAAGACTGTGAGCATGATACAAGAACGACAAAAGCAAACAGACCTGGAGCTGTCACCACTGACTAAAGAGAAAACCGGCAGAGCAATTACAATCTTTCATGTCAGGGGCGCCTGGGTGGCTCAGTCAGTTAAGCGTCTGCCTTCGGCTCAGGTCATGATCCCAGGGTCCTGGGATCCGGTCCTGCATCAGGATCCCTGCTCAGAGGGGAGTCTGCTTCTCCCTCTCCCTCTGTCACTCCCCCTGCTTGTACTCTCTCTCTAATAAATAATCTTTCATGTCAGACTTATGAAGAAATGGACTTGCAAAAGGGAATTCTAATGGAGAAGAGATCCATTCCAGAAAGATTTAAGATGCCTTGTTAGCATTTGATGACTAGAAGTGGGGCAGGGGGGATGGAGAAGAAGAAGATTTGGCTGGGGGGACTGGATAATGATGACTTTCACAAGAGAAGGGACTTTAAGAAGGGCAGATATTATAGGAATAAAGTTAGGCAAAAGGATGGAATGGGAATAAAGAGATTTAAAAATAGATATGCACACACACTTAGTCTTACACTTTCAGGCAAAGAAGTCACGTAACACTGTTTTGCATCTGTTTTTCTGTAATTGGGATAACACGGGTGTCCTAGCCTATCAAAAGGATATTTATGTACGATCAGTCAGTCAGAGGTGAATGAGCATGCTTTGGAAATTAAAGGATAGAAAAAATATTTGTATTACATTACGTATATGTATATAATTTTATATTTGAAAATTTTGATTACAGGTAATGGTCACATTATTGATGAGACTGCTAATCTGTGACCTATAGTCCTCCACAAAAGCTAACCTTAGTAATAATTGGCTTTTCTGTGATAAAAAAAAAAAAAAAAAATCTTTTTTATCAAGTAATCTCTATGCCCAACGTGGGGCTTGAACTCACAACCACAAGATCAAGAGCTGCATGTTCTACCGACTGAGCCAGCCAGGCACCCCTCGTGTGCTATTTAAAAACACTTAATATCATATCATTAACATTCAATTTTGCTTCACTGAATGGATAATTGTCATTTTAATAGCTATGTAGTATTCTATCGAGCAGCTGTACCATTAATTGTTTCAGAATTCCTCTATTTCCAGGGGCTGCTCCAGGGTCTCAAGCCTGCTCCGAGGTCAGCGGTGTTGCCACTTTTCCTTCTGCCCCGAAGTACCACTGCCTGCCACTGTCTTGTCTGGGCTCCCTGGCTTGGAACAGCCTCTTCTTCAGCTTCCAGACCTATGAAAAAAGTCCATGACACAGAAAATCGTTGTGCACAATAAATTTAATCCCTCAGTTTCTGAATAAATGAGGGATATTCTAACTGTGCAGCCTGGAATCACTCAAGGTGAATATTTAACATTTTCAGCCATCTCAGCCATCAGGAATTTATCCCGGGCCAGCTCTCCAGTGCTTATCCCCACGTGAAGTCCTCTGCTTTGTCTAGAACCTTCCTCACACCCCCTTTCTTCTAGGATCCTAACAATCTCTTGGAGTTTTTATTCCATTGAGTGTTGACTACTCTTTATGTATGTCCAATCTGCCCCACCCCCACCCCACCTCCAAATGCCCACAGGTGCTTCTGCTAAATGCTACTCAAATATTGGTTTGGGCTGTGGGAATGCAGATTTCACTGAGAGAAACCTTCCAGAAGCACCTGTCATGTCAGGTGTGTGTGAAGAGGGGCAGGGTGGAGACAGGTTGGGGAATAAGACAAAAACCTTCCTCTTTCCCCAAAGATACGGAAAACATTTTCCAGAAACTGCACAGAATTGAGACATAAAGGATGCAAAGGAGACTGGGCTGTCTTTGGTCTTGTGTGCCCTTTTAAGAGCAAGGAAAATCTCATAATTCGGCCCCCATCCCCATTCCCAGCAGGCTTTCACGACTCTTCAGCTTGAAAAGCATGACATACCCATGCCAAGAACCATCAGAGCATAGGGGATGGGATTACCATGATTGGCTAAAATTTATGAAGATTCACAACCTGGGATATAGAATCTGTGAGCTGGCTGGAAGGTGAGAACCTGAGCAAAAGCAGCCAGCAGGGAAAAACAGGACAGCTGAGTTCCTTGGGGCAGAAGGGGCAGAGGTTTGAGTCCTGACAAACAGGTTCTTCCCCACTGGACAAGAAACCGAAACATCTAGGATGCTCTTCTCTGAGATACTGCCGGTTCCGTGGGATGGCTTCAGAAACTGGTGAAGTCCTCTTCAGCGTCACCAGGTACCAGGCACAGTGTACTTATTTAGGCATAAAAAATAGAGTAAAAAAGAGTGGAGTTCAAGTCTCAACTCCACCATTAACAGGTTATATGTTTGGGGCTTTAAAAAAAAAAGATTGATTTATTTATTCATTTTTAGGGAGAGAGCGAGAGAGAAAGAGAGCTCGAGCAGAGGGAGGAACAGAGGGAGAGAGAGAATCTCAAGCCGACTCCCCAACATGGGGCTTGATCGCATCACCCTGAGATCAAACCAAGAGCTGGATGCTCAACTGATTGAGCCACCCAGGTGCCCCATGTTTGGGGCTTTTTAATAACCTCTCTCTCTAAGCTTTCAGTTTTTTCATCTGTAAAACGATGATAGTTAATAACTGATAATTATAATATTTGATAATTATTGATAATACCTGGTAGCTGATAATGGTGATGCTAACCTTACAACGTCTCTGTGGGAATTAAATGACTGAATGTGTAAAAAGTTCATAGCAAAGCGCTTGGCACGCAGTGAACACTCCGTGCACGTTACTTATCACAATTATTGCTATTTTTATCATAATCTTGACTGGAAGAGGAAATAATGGCACTGACGTCAGGATGGGGGAAAAGAGACAATAACCAAAGAAGATACTTTGGTGGCAGCACTACGGGAAAAGCAGAACATCTTTGTCCATGATCATTAAAGACATCTCCGATTACCTCCTAAGGATAGATTCCGAGAAATGAGATTGCTGGCCCCACAAATAGTCAGAGGGTCTACATGAAATCGTGCTGGTGACCCCAAGGTTCTGTACCTATTGGTGAACAAGCTCTGCTAATGAGATCAGGTGACGTCCACACAAGAGTTTCGAAAGAACTCAAAGTATCACTAAATGTAATGATTTACTATTACAAAGAAACACTGTACTTTAGGCCTGGCAGGTTGCCCCAAACAAATAAAAGTTTCTGAAGGGCACTCCAGAAACTGTGGGCTCCCAAGGTTGACTTCTGTGCTGTGAAAACAGGTGGGGTTAATACCGAAGGGATGCATTCCCCAAATGTGCTGCTGACACCAGGCACTAGGGTTCTTGGGGGTGTTTTCTCTGGTGTCTAGTGATTTCCTGTTGCGAGCTCCTCAGGGTTCTCCTGTGAGAACCCTCTAGTGAGAATCTGTTTGATTCAGTCTTGTACCCAGAGACATGAATATGTTGGGGTCACTATAAACTAAATTTAGCTAGTGGGATGCCTGGCTGCCTCATTGGTGGAGAGTGCGACTCTGGATCTCAGGGTTGTGAGTTCGAGCCCCATGTTGGGTGTGTAGATTACTTAAAAATAAACTCTTTTTAAAAAAGATTTTATTTATTTGGGAGAGAGCACGAGCAGCGAGGAGGGGCAGAGGGAGAGGGAGAGGGACAAGCTGACTCCCCGCTGAGCATGAAGCCTGACATGGGGCTTAATCCCAGGACCCTGAGGAATTTTCCAAGACCCAAATAGCCACATATTCCCATGGTCTTCTTTGGTGTGGATTTTACTCATATTCACCTTTCAGGGTGTTGTCCTTTGAGGTTCCTAGCTTTAGGCAGAGGGCTCAGTCCCTGGCTTTATCTCCTATCCCCCTCACATGTGGCCCGTTAAAACCCATATTCTGGGCACCAGAGATGAGCGGACACTCCAGGGAAAAGTCTCTCTGGGGATGTGCTTATCCTTCTGGATTACTGCTTTCTTGTCATTTCTGGCCTCCAGGGAATTCCCTTACTTTCTCACCAGCTCATTCATGAGTAAGTAGAAGATGCTTTTTGCATGGAACCCATCACTTTTCAGTGTGCTATATAGGGAGGGTTTCTCTGCTCATCTTGGCTGCCATATGGCCAGAAGTGAAGTCTAGGAGGATATATATTTAAGACTTGCAAATCTGAAAAATTATAGATGGCGTGGCTGGAGTAAAACAGGCTTGATCATGATCTTGGAACACTAGAATGAAGAGGCTCAAGCAGAGTACAAAGGACAAATACCAGGATACAAACCATAAGAGACTCTTAATCATAGGAAACAAACTGAGGGTTGCTGGAGAGGATGGGGGTGGAGGTATGGGGTACCTGAGTGATGGACATTAAGGAGGGCACTTGATGTAATGAGCACTGGGTGTTATATGCAACTGATGAATCACAGACCTGTACCTCTGAAACTGGTAATACATTATATGTTAATTAATTGAATTAAAACAAACAAAAGACAAAACAAAAAACAAAGGACAATTACCTGGAGATACTACTTTATAGAGAAGATAGTGTGTTTATGGATCTTATTCCGGAGAGGGGGGCGGACAAGCCCTCAACAACTGCTTGCTAATTGGATGGAAGGCAGGTAAGGGCAGAGTTGGATGGACTTTTTAGTTGGTTGAATTACCAGACCCAAATTATATTAATAAATTCACAGCAACTTTGAATGCACTCTCCAGAGCCAGCTACTACTGGGTTCTCTCCCATTTCCTGTTCAATAGGATCCTTTTATATGTGCTTTATGCAAACTGTTTCCTGTTTTATCAGCGTTACATATGGGAATGTTGGTGACAGAAAGTTAGATTTGTGTATGACCCTAAGCTAACAGTGCTAACTTGTACATCGAGGGAGGAAAAGCAACCCTTTTCCCTATACCCATGCCCCAAACAAGGAATGGGTGAGTTAAAATGTAATAGGGCCAAATGTTCTGCATGCAGATGGAAAAGTCCGCAACACATCCTTGTGGACACCATCCAAGATGGAACATCAATCTGGAAAAAATAAGTAGGGAAGGACTGGATGTGGAAGATGTGGCCTTTTTGACAGCAATAGCAGTGAGCAGGGCCCTGGGGCTCCTCATGGGCTGTAAACTCCGAGTGAGCCAAGAGCCTGGTTCAATAGCAGTTGAACAAATCTTGGGCTCCATGGACAGCAGTACAGAAACGACCAGGCCACCTGGGCACAGGGCTTTGCTTTCTGGGCACCTGGACAAGCCAGCGTGCAGGGAGAAGGAGATTAGCAACACAGGGAAGGAGCACTGGAAGCTTCTCCTCTAGGGTTCTGCAAAAAGAGCAAGGTTGGGGGCGCCTGGGTGGCTCAGTCATTGAGCGTCTGCCTTCGGCTCAGGTCATGATCCCAGGGTCCTGGGATGGAGTCCTGCATCTGGCTCCCTGCTCCATGGGAAGCCTGCTTCTCCCACTCCCCCTGCTTGTGTTCCCTCTCTTGCTGTGTCTCTCTCTATCAAATAAATAAATAAAATCTTAAAAAAAAAAAAAAAGAAGAGCAAGGTCGGCTTAGGTTGAACTGGGGGCTCCAGAGGGAGACTGTGTTAGTCGTCTAGGGCTGCCATAACAAGGTGCCACGGACTGAGTAGCTTCAGCAACCGGTATGCATCGTCTTAGGTCTGGAGGCTAGAAGTCCAAACTCAAGGTGTCAGCAGGGCTGGTTCATTCTGAAGCCTCTTTCCTTGGCTTGTAAATGGCTGTCTTCTCTTTCCTGTCCATGTGCCTTCACGTGGCCCTCCCTCTGTGTGTGTGTGTGTCCTAATCTCTTCTTTTAAGGACCCCAGACCTATTGGATTAGGGCCCACCCAGTGACCTCATTTTTTTTTTTTTTAGATTTTATTTTTAAATAATCTCTACACCCAAGGTGGGGCTCAAACTTATAATCCAGAGACCAAGAGTCGCGTGCTCTCCCAACTGGGCTGGCCAGGCACCCCATCCTTAAATAAAATTGAGATATAACTGACATATAACATTATATTAGTTTCAGGTGTGCAACATAATGATTCGATATAGGGATATATTGCAAAACGATCACATCAATAAGCCCAGCTAACATCTGTCACCATAGTTCCAAAATTTTTTTCTTGTGATGAGAACTTTTAAGATCGACTCTCTTGGCTGTACATCATGGCCCCATAACTTATTTATTTTTTAATTAATTAATTTATTTGAGAGATTGTGTGTGCGCAATTGGGGGGAGAGGCAGAGAGAGAGAGAGAGAGAATCCCAAATAGACTCTATGCAGAATGTGGATCCTGAC